GAAGACCTAGAGAAAGCAAGCATTCCTGGTCAGGCACATGGCTATGGTGTAAGAATACAGATACATTTTCAGACTTTCTCAATGAACAGCTCCAAGAAAGCTGGTTCTCCACGCTGGGAGCTGATCCAGGCTCAGGGTACCTTTCTTAATTGTCTGACACTTGCTTGCTTTCTTTTAATCACTACCCCTGATTTTAATTCATAACCTCGATAAAGAATACTATTTTTGTCTAAGACTCAATTTATAGGTATAATTATGATGTAAAAACACAATTGAGGGTCTATGTAGGTGCTAGGGAAATTACAGATAGGTGTATGTGGCAGGGGAGATAGCAGGTACACAAACACACACACCACACACACACACACACACATACACTGTTGTGTGGAGTTTAGTAGAGGCAAGCACTCAGACACAAATCCTAGACAACTGAAAGTCTTTATTCCGGGTGGCTGGGAGTATATTCAAGTAAGTGTTCAGGAACCCAGACGTAGCCTTGCGAATCTGGAGCCCAGGGTTTTTAATGTCAGAAACCACATTCCAGCATCTCACTCAGCAAGTGTAGTAGGCTTCACAGAGGCAAGCATCTCACTCAGCAACTGCACAGGCTTCACAAAAGCCAGCAGTTTTAACAGAAGCTAACTTAGCTACCACATTCTGATCTTGGTTCCTAGAACAGAGTTGGGTGATTTTCCATGGGACTCTCTATCAAGATCAGATTCTACTTAAACCTGGAATGGCCTCAGCAGGAATACAAGATGGAGGAACCTGTACCGTCTTCCCTCCTCACAACACTGCTTTACGATAGTTCAACTTTTTGTCTCCTTGGCTCATGGGCAGGGGATGTACTGTTTACCAACATGGTCTTCCGAGTGTCACTTTCTTTGACCTACTTTAAACCAAGCACATCAACTTCAAACCAGACGTTGGCCATCTGTCTTCCTAATGCCTCTAAATGGCCTCTGAGTTTTCTGATAGCTTTCATTGCTCCTGACCTCACACCCCTGTGTGACTTCTCACCCCTGCAGGGACACACCTGGCAACACATTCAGTACCCAACACCTGCTGGCTGACTCAAGACTGAGTTTTATGTCATCCGCATTTCCGCAGGCCAATAGAGAGTGTCATTAGAAAGCAATTATACCTGATGCTAGCCGGGGCCCCATTAAAGACAGAGCGCTAGTGACGAACTGTTCCAAACCCATTAGAAGCCCTCCTTTCGGATACAAACTCTGGGGCTTGGTGCCTCGGGTATTCCCTTCCTGTTGCCTTCAGAAGTTCAGCGATTGCCTTCAGAAGTTCAGCGACGCCTTCAGTGCCTTCTTCCTAAAGGTCTCATTAGTGTGGCATTAAGATGCATGGCCATGCTTCAGTTAAGTGAGCTCATTTGGTAGTTTGTGAAGAAACACAATTAGTAAAATAGCTGGTGCATGTCTGAGTTTTTGGCAGGTCAACTTTGAAATGTTGTTTTGACAGATATTCTCAGAATAAAGTGAAGAAAACAGCTCATGCTGAACCGGTCACGTGTGGAGGTGGTGAGCATATGCTTCGAATTCCGAGCTAAGTAGAAAGAAAAATACCCACAATTTTAGCTAATTTTGTTCTTGACAGCAACTCAGGATAGTTCAATGAAGAGATGTGCACATACCTTGGGGAATTAAGACATTGTTTGGCTTTCATGTTTGAAGCTTCCTGGCTTTGTGAGATCATGTGTTCTGTAAGCAGAGTCGGGATTTTGAGCTATTTGTGGGCTTCCCCATCAACAGACTGATGTTGGGGCTCCTGGAGGTGAGCGTGGTAGCGGGAGCAGAGTCCCTCCTTACCTCACTGTTCAAGCTGAAGTCAAAAGTCACATCTGGATGTGATTGGATGGTTTGATATCCTCTGAGGAGAGTGGATTATCATGTTTTCCAGGAAGCATGCACTCCACGTGGAGGACGGTTTAGCATCGTGATGTGAGGCTTCATTTTCTTGCACAGTTGTTTTACTGGCATGCTTCAGACTTCCAATGACTTATTTTTTTTTTCTAAGTTTAGATGCACAATGTTTACTGTTGACTGTGGAAGCGGCTTGACTCCATGCTGAAACTTACAGAAGGAACCATTTCAGAAGCTTCCTTCAGTGACTTCACTGGACACTGCATTTTGTAAGGGCTTTGCGATTCTCACGCATACAGAAGTTTGAGAGTTGGTAGAAAATTGGCCCAGCGCAGCCGCAGGTGTTTACAATCTAGTCTCTAGCTAGGAGCTGAGCTTGGAGGGGCACAGCAGAGCAGAGGCCTTCAAAGGCCTCTCTGTGGAAGAGACAGGGGCATACCATGTTCCACCTACGCATCAGTCAACCTGTGTCAGCGGCTGCTTGTCTATGCTGCCTCAACCCTGGCCTCTGCCTCAGGCACTGACTCAATGATGTCAGGTCAGAGGGATGAAGGTACTGTCCCCTGAAACCACTTCCTGCAGGCAGTGAGGCCCTCTCATGCTCAGCTTCTATCTTCCAACACTCTTGTTCTTCTGAGGTGCCTAGAGATTTCCGGAAGCCCTCTGTCCCTGTCTGAACTGCAAACTGACTCTCCTCTCTGCATGTCTGAGAGGGATCTGGGCGATGGCATCTTCATTCTCATACCTACATCTCAGTAGGGCCTCCATGGTGCCTTCCTTAGAAGCTTCAGACACAGGATTGACCTCTCCGAGTTTATTTGGATATCCTCTGAATTCATCTTTCCTCTATAAACCCGAAGCCATAATCTGACGGAAGGAGGCTTCTGTGGCCGGCATGATTCCATCAGGTCCAAATGTTTCATCTGTTGACAGCAGCTAGGAGTGAGTTTACTTCGCCCCCGGGGCTGGTAGTGATTTAAACTTCCTTGTGTTTGGAAATGTGTTGGAGCCTGTGAACTCTGTAGTGTCTTCAGCTGGGCACATCAGCAGTTTCCTTTCCGAAGAACTTCACCCTCCCCTCAAAAGCTTGCTTTGTGAGGCTTTTCCCTTGTGTATCCAGAGCTAACTTCACTTCTCTGCCCAGCTTTCTGTGCTGTAGTGAAAGTTTTCATCACGATTTGTCAGGCAAATCCCCCTTAACCAAATTTGCTCTTGTAGTTCACCTCATGACTTGTAGTTCACCTCATGACCTGTGGCTCACCTCATGACCTTGTGCTTCACCTCATGACCTTGTGGTTCATCTCATGACCTTGTGGCCTCTCTGGTCCCCCAAAGGTTATTCTGGAGGAATTTACCAGAATGCTCCTTTCATAACCAGCTGTTGGTATGCTCTGAGATTTGCAGGCTATTTATGACTTCAGGGCGGGGAGTTTTTAAAGATATCCTACAGGTTTGCACAAGTGTTTCATAGTTAAACTCATGCAGCAGAATCCACCTGTAGATTGCTCTGCAAGTTGAGATGGAGATTTTGACCTAATTTTATTTTGTCTGTATAGTGAGCTTTTTCCAAGCTGAGATACAGATATTTTTAGGGTCTAGTTCCTAGAGAACAGTGGTTTGTAGTCTAGGCTGGATACCAAGCCTGGGAATCACAGTCTGTGCCCTAAGCCAGGCTCAGTCAGCCATCCTCAATAATCAATTATAAGGCCAAATCAGGTTCAGTTGTTAAAATCCTTGTTGCTCTTGTAGAAGACCTGGTTTCTATTCCTAGCACCTACAAAGTGGTTCCCAACCATCTCTAACTCTAATTTAAGGGAATCCAATGTCTTCCTCTGACCTCTACAGGTACCACACATTAATGTGTTATTCAGATATCATGCAGACAAAACACACATAAAATAAAATGAATAAATCTAAGAAATAAAAAAATTAAATGGCCAAATTACTAAAGGAAAACTGATAAAAACAGATTTATTTATTTATCTATTTGTTTATTTATTATTTGAGATGGTGTTTTCTGTGTAGCCCTGACTGTCCTAGAACTCCCTCTGTAGACCAGGATGGCCTCAGACTCAGAGATCTGCCTGCCTTTGCCTCCCAAGTGCTGGGATTAAAGGCATACACCACCATGTCTGGCTAAAAAGAAATTTATATAATACAACCATATCGGGAAGACGGACACAGAAATCTAAAGACCTTCTCTCGTCTCTTTCTGACCCTGAAGTGAGATTACGGTTTAAATACATAATTGAGGATATACACATCCGAGTTGTTTAGTCAAGGTGTGGTCCTGACCCTGCCACAGACCCATCATTGTCTGGACTTCTGTCTCACCCTGTAGGATTGTCTGATAAGTTGTTAAAACAGTATGAAGTCTCTTACTGGGAGACAAGTTCCCTCTTGGGCTAGAACCTTCTCCGAGTCTGGTTATACACTCTTACCTTGTCCCACTCCTCCCATCTTGAAGGATGCTGGTCTTTGACTTCTAACATATATTTAAGTGACAGAATAAGTCTTGCCTGTCTCAGCATTTGTTTATAAATATAAGTCGTTTTACACCATCATATAAATTTGGCACATTGTCTAATTCTCTCAAGTGTTTCTGGAGCCTGCTGAAGTACAGTAAATATTTCACTTTAGGAAGGCTGGATCTATTAGCAGAACTCAAGTGATGCGCCATTTATTTAGTCTTTTGCTTTCCTTAGTTGACATTTAAAATTAGGCTCTCAAAAGCCAATTATGCATGAAATTTCATAATGAAATCTATTACTCTGTATGCTAATTAAAAGTAACCTAAAATAAAAATAAAACTTTTAAAATGCTCCGATTAGCAGATGTACCTAGAATAATTCCTGGCTGTGTGATCAGCTACCATTACACAAACAACATCTTAATGTGTTTTCTCCTCTGACTCCTGTGTGTTGATCTTTACAGCCACCGTTTACTCAGGCTCCGTGTTGGTCTTTCTATGATTCTTCTGTGTATTTAAACATTCCTTCTAGGAGATGTTCTAGGCTGCCTCTACCTCTCCATCTTCATTCAGTTTTTATTCATTTTGCGGTGACAGAACAGAAATCTCCATAGACCCAGCTACGTGACGATTGAAAAGAATAGAAGCAGGGGTACAGCGATGAACATAGAATCTATATTTTCATTTTATTAACCAATGGCTCTTGTCAAAATCATAGTAGCTGTTCAGATCAAAATGAAATGAGTGGAGGAGCACAGCAGCGTAGGTTCATTGGCAGCAAGTCTGGAAGTGCAGCCGTCTCTCAGAATAGCATAGCACATGCTTGTTAGTAAGGAGAGGGCCTTGGGTTTAAATCTCAGTGGCCCTTTCACCTCCCAGTTGTTAGCATTTTGAACTGATAGGTGAGATGTGTAAGTAGAAAGCTTTAAGGAGGGTCTCACGTGATAATTTGGAAGAAAAATTCAAAATGAATTTGGAGGAAAGAATATTAAATTGAAGCATACACATAAGTCTCAGCGGTGCTGAATGTGGTGGCATTCGCCTTGAATCCCAGAGCTCAGAAGGTGGCGGCAGCAGATCATCTCTGTGAGTTTGAATCCAGCCTGGTAAGGTCTGGACAAAGTAAGGTCCAGGAAGCCAGGACTGTTACACAGTGAGACCCTGTTTCAAAAACACACATACAAACAAACACAGTTTCAGTGGTTATTCTCCCAAATATTTTTACCATACGTACTAAACTTCCCACTAAGTTACAGTTGGACAGGAAAATGTGATTGCACTGTAGAATGATTATAAGATGAAATGATTTTTATCTTTAGCCTACGGAAACAATATACAAGGGCAGATGAGATGGTTTGGTGATGGGCTTGCTGCTGAGCCTGAAGACCTGAGTTTGATTCTGTGAATGAACATTCCTGAAAAGAAGCAGTGTCTGTGGAGACTGATGGGCTGATCAGAATCTGAGTACTGTGGAGAGGTTGGAACACTGTGGGTTCAGAGGCTAATTACCTTATCTTGGGCTAACTATAGCCCTCTGCAACAGCTCTTCCTTGGCCACCTCTGTGTCAGAACTAGATTCTTGTTCCTGACAGATAAAAAAGACCCTTTGAAATCTATTAGCTTAGTAGAACACTAGCTTCTACAAAACCCAAAGCTAAGGCTGTCATCAGATAGCATCTGGGGTCTATAGAAAAGGTCCCCTTCTTGCTCTAAGTGCCTCTCTGCTCTAACCATCCATGTATTTTAAACTTGCATTGATGTATGACTTTCTTTTTTTCTATAACATTATAAAATTTTCATGAAGCTCCTTCCACGATGGAACATGGAACTTGGGGCAACCTAAATCTGTGATGGCCACTTGAATTGGCTTCAGAACTAACTGTCTTGTTCTCTTTACTAGAGAGTGGCAGTCAACATTTTTTTTTTTGGTAATAATTTCCAGGATCTACATAGTAAAAGAAGAGAAATACCTCCTGTGAGTTGTCCTCTGACCTCTGTGAGTGTTCTGTGGCTTGTTGCACATCCACACAAATGCACACACACACACGCTAAATAAGTAAATGCATAAACATAAAAAATTAGATATAATAAATGGCTATGTTTAACCTGAGTAAGCACTTCATGAAATGTGATAGACACCACAGCATACCTCATTAATATGATAGTTGTTATATTTTATATAGCAGTTCTAAAAAGAGAAAATGTCTCTATTACTCACAATTAATTTTCAAAAAACATTGTTAGTTTTACTACCAGGTTATATATCCAAGGAAGGGTGAATGAGCAAATAATTTATTTTGCATGGTGCACTGATAAGGAGAGCTAAAATTAATATTTAGTCTTTAATAAGCATGAATCAGATATAGCCCGCTCAAGCCTAGATATTTAGAAATGTGATCCATGTTGAAAGAGGCATTTTTCAAAGATCATTTCACCACTAAATATAAACAAGGAGGAAGCTTAAATCAATAAGAAATACCAGCCCAAGGTAGCATAGGTTGTTTTATAGGTCAAGGTACATTTATCTCAAAATCAAATTTCTGTTAAAAAGCCATATCTGACAAATGTGTATACATCTTTAAGTGTATAAACAGAGGCATAGGATTTTATAAAGATGAAACGTATATGAACTATTTTGCTGTTATAAAATAGATTTTTGAAATGCATTTCTCCTCTCTAATTGTTTATCTTTAACCAATGTGTCCCATCTTCTCTTCCCGCTCCAGCCGTCCCAAGCTTTGGTGGTCAGAATTCCACCATCCACTCCTATGAGACCCATGCTTTCAGGCTCTACATACCAGGGATACCACCGACTCAGTATTGGTCTCTCTTTGTCTGCTTCATCCATATCATTGCAAGTGGCAGGTTATCAATCCCTTTATGTCTACAGAGAATTCATTTAGTATCTCAACTCCTTCTTATGAGTCTTTAAATTCCTGGCTTTTGTTCCAGCTGCTATCATAGCCTCAAAGAAGTGGCCTGGAAACAGACTTTTTCTTGTTCCTGGAGACCTACACCAAATGTTTTCTTTTTATAGTTGCTCCTATCACCTCACCATTCTGAATTTTGTGGTCAGCCCAGTGTTAGAGAGTGCCACACCAGGTGGTATATATTTGAAGCTTCTACCAGGTCTGTGACTTGTTCGAGTTGTAAATTATATACAGAAGAGCATCAGGCAGAGTCTCCTGACCCTAGGTCACCTACATCCCTGAACACAGAGCTGCAGTCTGACTGTGTTCTGGTTTCTTCACTGCACACCATGACAGCCAGGGTGAGCATGAATTCACATCTTCTACCTAGTGGACAACTATTAGATTCATTATATAAAATACGGTCTAAATGCCAATAAAATGTGACATATAAATTCTTAAATAGCATATTATAAGCTTCAGTTTTGATTCATAAACTTTCAGTTCTAAAACAGTTATCCATGAGCTGTGAATGAGGAAAGTATTTAGAGGTCACAAATGTTTTATTACATTTGAGATTAGGAGCATTATTTCCCTGTTGAAAGTTGGCGGCGGGAGAGTTGTAATTTTATAGTTGGTCATTTGTAGATGCTGGGCATAGTTTATGAAGGATGTAAAGGACAGGTAGTATCATGATGTGCAAACAGTTCTCTTTGGACAAAAATAAAGAAGGCTGGGTTCTACACCCTCATAACACTAGATATCTCTGTATGCAGTAAGCATATATTAAAATTCACTGCATTTGAAAATATGAATCTTCCCTCTGATGAATCTAGCTACTTCTCCCTCAGGTAAATTTAATCACATGGATTTCAATAAGAAACACATTTTTGAAATATAAAAGATACCACTTTATCTTCTTCAGAAATTCTGTCAGACAATTCTCTGCAGAAGAAAAATAACTTGTCATTGTGGATTTGAAGTTGGAGGTTATAATAGCTGACTTCAGAAAAATAAGGTAAAACTTAGCATGGTGGTGCATACCTGTACTCCTAGAACCTGGGAGGGAGAGGAGAAAGCACTGCGATGTCCAGCTGCCTTCAACATTCATCGTAAGTTTGAGGTCAGCCAAAGCTACACTAGAACAATTTTAAATGTTAAAACAAAGCAAAATGAAATGAATAAAATGCGCACATGGACATACGGGTTTGCACACACACACAGGCACACACAGGTGTGCACACACACACAGGCACACACAGGTGTGCACACACAAGTGGGTGCTTACTCACATGCACACACTTTAATTTAAAAGCTATTCTGGAAATCATTCTTCCAAGGAGAAGTCTCTTCGAAGAATGGGGATAATATTTTTAAAATGAGCTTTGTGTAGTCTCAATAACATTTTTATTTCTGTTTAATTTTAAAGTACCTGTCTGGGATTCCATAGAAAGGGCACAACGCAATCAACGCAGCAATTTTTAAAGCATCGATTACAGCTGGATGCTGGGAATAGAGTAGTGAATAAGACATTACTTTATCCTAGAAGAAGCAACCCTGCTCCTTATCCTTAGCATTCTGTTACTGGGCAAAGGTCTTGAAATACTTTTTTTTTTAACCATGGTTTCAGAACTTTCCATGAAGGATTACTTGACTCTGTTGTTCTGGGCCTGGCACAGCAGAGTGGACACAATAGCAGAAGGGGACTTTACGTCCTAGAGCCATGAAGGAAGTCCCACGCTGCAATGTTCCCTTCGAAGGGGAACTGCCAATGATGCCACCTCTTTCTACAAGGCTTTGCTTACCCTAAGTGGCCCCACCTTCAAACAGTGACAAAGCTCTGAGCTCTTGGGCCCTTATGTGAATGCATGGCTGTACCCTGAGCAAATGGGAAAATGGATATTCCATTTATTGACATGCGGGAGGAAAATCAGGGATCATGATTGCTGGGGTTTGGTAGCTGTGACCAGGGACAATGAATAAAAAGGGCTTGAATGCATGACGAAAAAAGGAAGGGAGAAGTGAAGATGTGTCTGGTGCTCGGGATTTCCATAGCAACACGGGTTTGAGACACTTACAGTTCAAGGGAGAGTTAAAGGTGCGGTAATGGCAGTAAAGTATACAGGAGCTCAGGAAACGTGACAATTTCAAGTCTCTTAAGATGCTGATATTTATTGGTGAAGAAGCACCACACACATTGAAGTAGAGTGGTAACAGCAACTCCGAGAACGATGATGTCACTGTTTCAAACAGGATTGGGGCCACCGGGCATCTTGACCCATGAATGACCTTGATTGAAAGAATGTCCACTGGGTAAGGGACCAGAACGAGAATGGCAAGAGAAGAGTGTGGGAAATATCGAGGCTGAGACCGGAGTGTGGATGGTTTGCATTTGGTTGAGGATATGGGCAGAGGGGCAGGGGCAGAGCCAAGGAGATAAAATGATACCAAGTGTGACGGTGGTTTTAGAAGGTGAAGCGATTCAAGTGGAAGCAATTAGCTTCCTGTAGAAGCAGGTCCATAGCGTTCATTACGGGGAGAGGGCTGACCCAAATTCCTGTACATTTTCGTTTCACTTCAGCTAGTTTAAGTCAAAAGACGTAAACTGATACAGAAAAATGTCCAGGGAAGAAAATTTCCAGGCACCATCTTGAAACCGTGTATGTCCTCTGATGCAACAGCCACTTAATCACCTTCTCCAAGCGGGTCTCCTGCCACTTCCAATTTGCCTGTTCGGTGGCTTATAACATCTTAATGCTAGTGGTACAGGAAAGCCAAGTAGCGACATGTATATAGAGGGCAAAGAACATCAATCTCGTCCTGGTAAATGAGAGCGATCTGGAAACCAAACTCAGTAGTAGTGGATAGATTCCGGAGAGAAGGCAGCTCTACCGTCCACGGCTAGGCAGCCAGCAGCCTAACTAGGAAAAGATTATGAGTAAAAAAAGCCTCATTATGTAGCTTATTTGAAATCCTTTGAATTACATAGAAAATGTATAAATGACAGATACATCCCAGCTCATCAATCTTCATCTTAACAATCTTCTGGTGCATGTTTTAAAGAAATCTCAAACGCATGCGCACGTGTGTGCGTGAGTGCGTGTGTGTGTGTGTGTGTGTGTGTGTGTTCCACACGTGGTGCCTGTGAAGGTCAGAAGAACATGTCAGACCACCTGGGGCTGGAGGCATAGGTGGTTGTGAGACCCAATGTGGGTGCTGGGAACTGAACTTGGATCTTCTGGAAGAGCAGTAAATGCTCTCAACTGCCCAACGATCCCTCCAGTTCTCAGAATGGAGATTCCCATATTCCAAACAGATCATTCACAATGTTTTCAGTTTATTAAATTAATATGCCAGCTCTCTTGAATGAATATCATTGCTAGTTTTAATATTATTTTAAATTTCTGACTTGCATGGAGTCCTCTCAAACTCTGTAAGGTATTAACTTCTAGGGGGATAGCAACAGGAAGTCAGACCTTTGTGATACAGTTTAGCTGAAGTCATGAGGGTGAAGCCTTCATGATGAGATTAGCGTCCTTATAAGATAAGACACCTAGGAAAGAAGTCTCCCTTTCCTCTCCGGCCCCAGGTAATAACACAATGGAAAGGAAGCTATGAGAAATAGTCCTCTCGCCAAAAATGGAATCATACCTGCTCTTT